TTTTGTTTTTTAGATTCCACATGTAAGTGAAATCATATGTTATTTGTCTTCCTCTGTCTGAGTTACTTCATTTAGCATTATACCCTAAGCGTCCATCTATGTTGTCACAAATGGCAAGATTTCATTCTTTTTTTATGACTAATATTCCTGTGTGTGTGTTCTAGACCTACACATCTTCTTTATCCATTCATCTATTGATGGACATTTGGGCTGCTTCCATAATTTGGCTATGATAAATGATGCTGCAATAAATATAAGGGTGCATATACCTTTTCAAATTAATGTTGTTTTCTTTAGGTAAATACCCAGTAGTGGAATTACTGGATCATATGGTAATTCTATTTTTAATTTTTTGAGAAACCTCCAAACTGTTTTACACGGTGCTTGCACCTATTTACATTCCACAACGTCTGAGAGTTCCCTTTTCTCTGCATCCTTGCCAACACTTGGTGTTTCTTCTCTTTTTAATACTAGTCATTCTGACTGGTGCAAGGTGATTATCTCATTGTGATTTTGATTGGCATTTCCCTGATGATTAATGATGTTGAGCATCTTTTTCATGTGTCCATGAGCCATCTGTATGTCTTTGGAAAAATGTTCAGGTCTTCTGCCCCTTTTTAAATCAGATTGGGTTTTTTTTTGGTGTTGTCTAAGTTCTTCATGTATTTTGGATATTAGCCCCTTCTCAGATATATCATTGGCAAATATCTTCTCCCGTTCACTTGGTTGCCTTTTTGTTTTGTTGATGGTTTTTGTTTTTTGCTGTGCAAAACTTTATTTTTGTATAGTCTCAGTAGTTTATTTTTGCTTTTGTTTGCCATGCCCAAGGAGAAATATCCATAAGTATGTTGTAAGGCTGATGTCCAAGAGATGACTGTGTTTTCTTTTATGGTTTCAGGTTGCACATTTAGGTCTTTAATTCATTTTGAGTTTACTTTTGGGTATGGTGTTAAGACAGTGGTCCAGCTTCATTCTTTTGCATGTGGCTGTCCAGTTTTCCCAGCACCATTTATTGAAAAGACCCTCTTTTCCCCATTGTATATTCTTGGCTCCTTTGTTGTAGATTAATTGACCATATAAGTGTGAGTTTATTTCTGGGCTCTCTGTCCTGTTCCATTGATCTGTTTTTGTGCCAGTACCATACCATTTTGATTACTGTAGCTTTGTAGTATATCTTTAAGTGTGGGGTTATGATTTGTTCTTCTTTTTCAAGATTGCTTTGGCTATTCCAGGTCTTTTGTGGTTCCTGTGTAGTTTTAGGATTATTTGTTCTAGTTTCATGAAAAATGCTATTGGTATTTTGATAGGGATTGCACTGACTCTCTGGATTGCTTTGGGAAGTATGGACATTTTAACAATACTGCTTTTTCCAGTCCATGCACATGGTATATCTTTCCATTAGTGTCATCTTCAGTTTATTTCATCAATGTCTTTAAGTTTTCAGAGTTTAGGTCTTTCACCTCCTTGTTTAAATTTATTCCTAGGTGTTTTATTCTTTAGGATGCAAATAAATTTTTTTAAAGATTTTATTTATTTATTTGAGAGAGAGAGAGCACAAGCAGGGGGAGGGGCAGAAAGAGAGGGAGAAGCAATCTCCCTTGCTGAGCTGGGAGCCTGATGTGGGGCTCGATCCCAGGACCCTGGGATCATGACCTGAACCAAAGGCAGACACTTAACTGAGCCACCCAGGTGCCCCTCATTTATTAGTTCTAAGAGCTTTTTGGTGGAGTGTTCAGGATTTTCTATATATAGCATCATGTCTTCTGCAAATAATGACAGTTTTACTTCTTTCTTACCAATTTAAATGCTTTTATTTCTTTTCCTTGTCTGATTGCTGAAGCTAGGACTTCTAGTACTACGTTGAATAAAAGTGGTGAGAGTGGACATTCTTGTTTCTGATCTTAGAGGAAAAGCTTTCAGTTTTTCACCATTGAGTATGATGTTAGCTGTGTTTCATTTTTTTTTATGTTGAGGTACGTTCCCTATAAACCCACTTTATTGAGAGTTTTTATCATGAATAGATGTTGTATTTGTCAAATGCTGTTTCTGAATATTGAGATGATCATATGGTTTCTATCTTTTAAGATTTTATTTATTTATTTGACAGTGAGAGAGAGCACAAGCAGGGGGAGCAGCAGAGGGCGAGGGAGAAGCAGGCTTTTTGCTGAGCAGGGAGCCTGATGCGGGGCTCGATCCCAGGACCCTGAGCAGACACTTAATGACTGAGCCACCCAGGCGCCCAGACTTTTCTTTTGTTAATATGATGTATCACATTCCCTAGTTTGTGAATATTGAACCACCCTTGCATCTATGGAATAAATCTCACTTGATTTGAGTGATCTTTTAATGTATTGTTGAATTCGGTTTGCTCATATTTTGTTGAGGATTTTTGCATCTGTGTTCATCAGGGATATTGGCCTGTGTTTTTCTTTTTTTGTAGTGTCTTTGGTTTTGGTAATGGTAATGCTGGTCTTAAAGAATGAATGTAGAAGTTTTCCTTCCTCTTCTGTTTTTTGAAATAGTTTGAGAAGAATAGGCTTCACTCTTTTTAAGATGTTTGGTACAGTTCATTTGTGAAGCCATCTGCTCTTGGACTTTGGTTTGAAAGGAGCCTGTTACTGTTGTTGTTTTTACTACTGATTCAGTTTTATAACTAGTAATTGGTTTGTTCAAATTTTCTATTCTTCCTTACTCATTTTTGGAAGATTGTATGTTTCTAGGAATTTATCCATTTCTTCTAGGATGTCCAATTTGTTGGCATATAAGTTTTCATAGTAGTCTCTTATAATCCTTTGTATTCTGTGTTGTCAGTTATTATTTCTTCTCATTTTTTTTTAAGATTTTATTTATTTATTTGACAGAGAGAGAGCAGAAGCAGAGGGAACAGGAGAAGGAGAAGCAGTCTCCCCACTGAGCAGGGAGCCCCTCCCGATGGATCATGACCTGAGCTGAAGGCAGAGGCTTAACCAGCTGAGCCACCTGGGCACCCCTTCTCCTCCATTTCTGATTTTGAGTCTTCTTTCTTTTTTTTCTTGATCAGTCTGGCCAGAGGTTTATCAATTTTGTTTATCTTTTCAAAGAACCAGCTCTTGGTTTCATTGATCTTTTCTCTTGTTTTTTTTTTAGTCTCTGTTTCATTTATTTCCACTCTCATCTTTATTATTTGCTTCCTTTTACTAACTTTGGGCTTTGTCGTTTTTTTTTTTCTAGCTCCTTAGGTGTCAGGTTAGATTATTTATTTGAGATTTTTCTTGTTTTTTGAAGTAGGCCTATATCACTATAAACGTCCCTCTTAGAACTGCTTTTGCTGTGTCTCAAAGATTTTGGACCATTTCATTTCATTTGTCTCCATGTATTTTTTTATTAACTATTTTATTTATTTATTGACTCATTGGCTGTTTAGTGGCATGTTGTTTAGCCTCCATGTGTTTGTATTTTTTCCAGTTCTTTTTTTTTTTTTAAGATTTTATTTATTGGGATGCCTGGGTGGCTCAGTCAGTTAAGCGGCTGCCTTCAGCTTGGGTCATGATCCCAAGATCCTGGGATCTGAGCCCTGAGTTGTGCTCCCTGCTCAGCAGGGAGCCTGCTTCTCCCTCTCCCTCTGCCCCCCCCAATTTGTGCGCACTCTCTCTCTCTCTCTATCTCAAATAAATAAAATCTTTTTAAAAAAAGATTTTATTTATTTGTCAGACAAAGCACACAGCAGGGGGAACAGCAGGCAGAGGGAGAAGCAGACTCCTTGCCTATCAAGGAGCCCGATCTGGGACTTGATCCCAGGACCCTGGGACCATGACCTGAGCTGAAGGCAGACACTCAAGGGCCTAAGCCACACAGGCATCCCTCCAGTTCTTTTCATGTAATTGATTTCTAGTTTCATACCATTGTGGTTGGAAAAGATGCTTGATATGATTTCAGTCTTCTTAAATTTATTAAGACTTGTTTTGCGGCCTAATGTATGATCTTCCTGGAGGATGTTTCATATACCCTTAAAAAGAATGTATATTCTGGGGCACCTGAGTGGCCTAGTCAGTTAAGCATCTGCCTTTGGCTCAGGTCATGATCCCAGGGTCCTGGGATTGAGCCCCTCATCGGGCTCCCTCCTCAGTGGGGAGTCTGCTTGTCCCTCTCCCTCAGCCCCTCCCTCTCGCTTGTGCTCTCTTGCTTGCTAGCTCTCAAATAAGTAAGTAAGTAAATAAGTAAATAAATCTTTGAAGGAAAAAAAATGCATATTCAGCTATCTTTGGATGGAATGTTCTGTGTGTATCTGTTAGGGCCATCTGATGTAATGTGTTGTTCAAAGCCATTGTTTCTTTATTGATTTTCTGTCTGAAATGATTTATCCATTGATGTAATTGTGATGTTAAAGTCCCCTACTCTTCATTTTCTTCCTTTATGTCTGTTAGTATTTGCTTCATGTATTTAGGTGCTCCAGTGTTGGGTGCATCAATATTATAATTGCTGTATCCTCTTATTGGATTGATCCCTTTATCATTATGTAATGCCCTTCTTTGTCCCTGGCTGCAACCTTTGTTTTAAGGTCAGACAATCATTGTAATTATTAAAAGAAATTAAATAAATACATCTTCCAAAGGTTTCATTCAAGAAGGGATTTATATTCTTGATATCTTGAAATAGTGTCTTATGGTCAGGAGCTGTATTCTAGAGGAACTACTTACTAGTCACTATGTGACTTTAGGAAAGTTACTTAATCTCTCTGTGTCTTGAGTTTATCTATGAAATGGGACTAATAATACCTTACTTTCTAGGGCAATTATGAGTATGAAAATAATGCATATGAAACATTTTGCTGAGTACTTGGTATATAATAGATGCTCCATAAATGATGGTTGCTATGATTGTCATTAGCATGTAACAAAAGATGGAAGATTAAATGTTAGTCTCCTACCCTGTCTTCATTGAACTTATTAAGTTACTTATAAAACAAGTTTGTTAATAGTAACTTCCATTTAATTAATTAATTTATTTTTTTCTGTTTGAAGGTCTACTGAGTGGCCAGACATCCCCAACAAATACCAAATTGGAGAAATTGGATTCTCAACAGGTGTTACAGCTCTGCCTTCGATATCAGGATCATCTTCATCAGTGTGCAGAGGCCGTTGCCTTTGATCAGAATGCTTTGGTTAAACGAATCAAAGAGGTAATGTACTGTGGGAAAATAACATCACTGGCTCATTATTGTGATTTCCTCCGACTCCCAAGTCCTTTTCTACTGGGAAGTAGAGCCAGTGATCCAGGCTTTATGGGGAATAGTCATTTTCTGATTTAGTCTTGCCATTTGTCCCCATTGCTTTAGATAGATTGTTTTTCCTAGCAGTAAAATGTAATGATGAAAAGGAGTAGTCCATGGAGCTGGAATTTGAAACCTGGTTCACCACTTCTTTGCTTAGATAAGTTACTGAACTTCTCCTGATCTGTTTTCTGATCTGAAAAAGAGTAGTAACCTATCCCAAGGGTTGAATGAAGATTAAAATTTCAGTAGGTGTTAGGTACTATTAGTATGTAAAGTCCTGCCATACTAATTTGCTCTAGCTGATTCAAATCTTTGAATTGACTTTAGCTGTTTCCTATATGTAATTTATATTTTGTTTTCCAATAGGGTATCAGTTGTTTGAGAGCAGGAGCCTTGATATCTCTTTCAATTATTTTTTCACAGTATGAGCACATGAAAAGCTCAGTGATTTTTATTGGTTGAATGGAAACAATTATGCTTATTCTACCCACAAGGTTTTTGTGAGGGAAGGAGCAAGGTAATTCCTGTGAAAGTACTTAGAAAACTGAAGTGTGTGATACAGATGTTTAGTAATTATTAAGAATAATAAGGTACTTCAGTTAAACACTGAAATATACCATTGACTGGGCTGCTGCATGGTATAGTACATACATTTTCCAAAGTTTTCAGTAAAGGGATTAAGATTCCTGATACCTTGAAGTAGTTTCATATAAAGAAAAGGTCAGGAGCTCAATCTTGGAGAAACCACTCATGTTAATGGCAGCTCCTGGAGTTGTTTAACAAAATAGTCCTGGTCATTGACTCAGGCATAAGAAGAAGGTGGATATGAGGAAACACACAAGTAAAGGGTTGAGAATCACTGCAAATAGATGTAGTAAGTTCTTGAGATAACAAAGTTGTCACTAGGTATATTGATAGATTTAAATTTGCCAACACCTCTAATATTTTACTACTTACCTTTCATAAAATATATACATATATGTTTCTCTCATGGCTTAAATAATTTTATTTGGAAGAGCATTCCAAATTGTCATTTTATATTTTCATATTGGTTGGCATTGTTGTGGCCTTTCAAATATTATAAACATATTTTACTGTATTATGATCTAGAGAGATTTAAATCCCAAATGTGACTACGTTTGTTTTAATACTGAGTTTTCCTCTCCTGCCAGTAGGTCTAGGATGTGGTCGGTAAATCATTATTTTAATAAGCTTATCAAATGATACGGAATCCATTCTCCATTACCTGAGATTTGGGAACCACTAGCCTAGAGCACTGTTTTCCAAAATAAGTTCTACAAAACTAGTCCCATGTGAAGAAGGTCAAACTTTTTGCATATTCCATCACCACCCTTGGAAAGTCACGATGCATATTCTCTTTTTAAAAGTTCTTAGGAATCTTACAGGAAATAAAACTGGTGGTGTTCTTTTCTTTATTATTTATAATTATTTTTTAAATTTTTATTTTATTATGTTATGTTAATCACCATACATTACATTATTAGTTTTTGATGTAGTGTTCCATGATTCATTGTTTGCATATAATACCCAGTGCTCCATTCAGTACGTGCTCTCTTTAATACCCATCACCAGGCTAACCCATCCCCCCCCCCCCCCCCCCTCTAGAACCCTCAGTTTGTTTCTTACAGTCCATAGTCTCTCATGGTTCGTCTCCCCCTCTGATTCCCCCCCTTCATTTTTCCCTTCCTGCTATCTTCTTCTTTTTTTTTTTTAACATATAATGTATTATTTGTTTCAGAGGTACAAGTCTGTGGTTCAACAGTCTTACACAATTCACAGCACTCACCATAGCACATACCCTCCCCAGTGTCTATCACCCAGCCACCCCATCCCTCCCACCCCCCACCACTCCAGCAACCCTCAGTTTGTTTCCTGAGATTAAGAATTCCTCATAGCAGTGAGATCATGATACATGTTTTTCTCTGATTGACTTATTTCGCTCAGCATAATACCCTCGAGTTCCATCTGTGTCATTCAAATGGCAAGATTTTATTCCTTTTGATGGCTGCATAATATTCCTGTGTGTGTGTGTGCGCACACACACGCGCGCGCGCACACACACACACCCCCCACATCTTCATTATCCACTCATCTGTCGATGGACACCTTGGCTCTTTCCATAGTTTGGCTATTGTGGACATTGCTGCTATAAACATCGGGATGCACATACCCCTTCGGATCCCTACATTTGTATCTTTGGGGTAAATACCCAGTGGTGCAATTGCTGGGTCATATGGTAGCTCTATTTTCAACTTTTTGAGGAACCTCCATACTCTTTTCCACAGTGGTTGCACCAGTTTGCATTCCCACCAACAGTGTAGGAGGGTTCCCCTTTCTCCGCATCCCCGCCAACATCTGTCATTTCCTGACTTGTTAATTTTAGCCATTCTGACTGGTGTGAGGTGGTATCTCATTGAGGTTTTGATTTGGATTTCCCTGATACCGAGCAATGTGAGCACTTTTTCATGTGTCTGTTGGCCACTTGGATGTCTTCTTTGCAGAAATGTCTGTTCATGTCTTCTTCCCATTTCTTGATTGGATCATTTGTTCTTTGGGTGTTGAGTTTGATAAGTTCTTTATAGATTTTGGATACTTGCCCTTTATCTGATACGTCATAATATCTTCTTCCATTCTCTTGGTTGTCTTTTGATTTTGTTGACTGTTTTCTTTTGCTGTGCAAAAGCTTTTTATCTTGATGAAGTTCCAATAGTTCATTTTTGCCCTTGCTTCCCTTGCCTTTGGCAATGTTTCTAGGAAGAAGTTGCCGTGGCTGAGGTCGAAGAGGTTGCTGCCTGTGTTCTCCTGTAGGATTTTGATGGACTCCTGTCTCATGTTTAGGTCTTTCAACCATTTGGAGTCTATTTTTGTGTGTGGTGTAAGGAAATGGTCCAGTTTCATTCTTCTGCATGTGGCTGCCCAATTTTCCCAACACCACTTGTTGAAGAGACTGTCTTTTTTCCATTGGACATTCTTTCCTGCTTTGTCGAAGATTAGTTGACCATCAAGTTGAGGGTCCATTTCTGAGCTCTCTATTCTGTTCCACTGATCTATGTGTCTGTTTTTGTGCCAGTACCATACTGTCTTGATGATGACAGCTTTGTAATAGTGCTTGAAGTCTGGAATTGTGATGCCACCAGCTTTTCTTTTCTTTTTCAATATTCCTCTGGCTATTGAGGGTCTTATCTAGTTCCATACAAATTTTAGGATTATTTGTTCCATTTCTTTGAAAAAAGTGGATGGTATTTTGACAGGGATTGCATTAAATGTGTAGACTGCTCTAGGTAGCATTGACATCTTCACAATATTTGTTCTTCCAATCCGTGAGCGTGGAACGTTTTTCCATTTCTTTGTGTCTTCCTCAATTTCTTTCAAGAGTATTCTATAGTTTTCTGAGTACAGATTCTTTGCCTCTTTGGTTAGATTTATTCCTAGGTATCTTATGGTTTTGGGTGCAGTTGTAAATGGGATTGACTCCTTAATTTCTCTTTCTTCTGTCTTGTTGTTGGTGTATAGGAATGCCACTGATTTCTGTGCATTGATTTTATATCCTGCCACTTCACTGAATTCCTGTATGAGTTCTAGCAGTTTTGGGGTGGAGTCTTTGGGTTTCCCACATAAAGTATCATATCGTCTTCAAAGAGTGAGAGTTTGACTTCTTTTCCTATTCTGCCTTTTATTTTTTTGTTGTCTGATTGCTGTGGGTAGGACTTCTAATACTATGTTGAATAGCAGAGGTGATAATGGACATTCCTGCCATGTTCCTGACCTTAGGGGGGAAGCTCTGAGGTTTTCCCCATTGAGAATGATATTCGCTGTGGGTTTTTCATAGATGGCTTTTATGATATTGAGGTATGTACCCTCTGTCCCTATACTCTGAAGAGTTTTGATCAAGAAAGGATGCTGTACTTTGTCAGATGCTTTTTCTGCATCTGTTGAGAGGATCATATGGTTCTTGTTCTTTCTTTTATTAATGTATTGTATCACTTTGATTGATTTGCGGATGCTGAACCAACCTTGCAGCCCAGGGATAAATCCCATTTGGTCGTGGTGAATAATCCTTTTAATGTACTGTGGATCCTCTTGGCTAGTATTTTGGTGAGTATTTTTACCTCCATGTTCATCAAGGATATTGGTCTGTAATTCTCCTTTTTGATGGGGTCTTTGCCTGGTTTTGGGATCAAGGTAATGGTGGCCTCATAAAATGAGTTTGGAGGTTTTCCTTCCATTTCTATTTTTTGGAACAGTTTCAGAAGAACAGGTATTAATTCTTCTTTAAATGTTTGGTAGAATTCCCCTGGGAAGCCATCTGGCCCTGGGCTTTTGTTTTTTGGGAGATTTTTGATGACTGCTTCAATTTCCTTAGCGGTTATAGGTCTGTTCAGGTTTTCTATTTCTTCATGGTTCAGTTTTGGTAGTTTATACATCTTTAGGAATGCATCTATTTCTTCGAGAGTATCTAATTTGCTGGCATAGAGTTGCTCATAATATGTTCTTATAAATCTTTGTATGTCTTTGGTGTTGGTTGTGATCTCTCCTCTTTCGTTCATGATTTTATTTATTTGGGTCATTTCTCTTTTCTTTTTGATAAGTCTGGCCAGGGTTTATCAATCTTGTTAATTCTATCAAAGAACCAGCTCCTAGTTTTGCTGATCTGTTCTTCTGTTTTTTGGTTTCTATTTCATTGATTTCTGTTCTGATCTTTATTATTTCTCTCCTCCTGCTGGGTTTAGGCTTTATTTGCTGTTCTTTCTCCAGCTCCTTTAGGTGTAGGGTTTGCTTGTGTATTTGAGACCTTTCTTGTTTCTTGAGAAAGGCTTGTATTGCTATATACTTTCTCTTAGCACTGCCTTTGCTGTATCCCAAAGATTTTGAACAGTTCTGTTTTC